CGATGTCAAATTTGGAAAATATAATTGCAACGTTGCCGGATTGTGATAAAATTAGTAGTTAATGGAAAATTGTGATTGCACATACCGGTCCATAAATATGCAACAAGAAAACGAAGCCACGAAGTCAAAAAGGCGGCTTCGTCGCCACCAAAAAATATTAACCCATACCTGGCTACGTCGACCAGCATAGACTCCAACGACCTGGACACAGCTCAAATTGGATTTAAAACGTAAACTTTTTCACATAATTTCTTGCGATTGCGCATACCAGTCCATAAATATGCCACCGCCGACGCCATCATAAAACATCAACCCATACCTAGCTACGCCGACTGGAATAGACTCCAACGGCCTGGACACAGCTCAAATTGAATAATTGAAATGAAAAGTCTCAAATTAACACATTTATATTTTGGTTTTATCATCTAGCCTGGAGCTATTGAAAAAACAGCCACTGTCATTCTTGTTATGTTCGTTTTTTTACTATGTTTGACAACACCACATTTATAAAAATAAAAATATTAGTTGTCGTATTATTCATAAACAAAAAATAATATAGAACGGTATTATAATGAATATATTTATTTAGAACAAATAACAAAAAGCAATTGGCAACATCGCTAAAATTACGCACAGGCGATCTTAGTGTGACTGTCAAATCGAAAAAATTAAAAAACAATATGGCTATGTGAGAATGTCGTGAATAAATGCATATTCTTAATTTTTTAACTTACAAATGTGTTTTAATAATATTTTTTGCTTTAATTAGGTTAGTGCACACTTATAGAAGTTGAAAAAGTCTAAAAATATTATGGTTTTACTTAATCTTTGTGGAAAAAGTGAAAAAATTACTGTCCCTAATATCGACGGTAGCCCATTATATACCGTCAGTGATTACGCTTTTAAAGGCACAATTCTTACTCATAGAGTTCAATTCTTGAAGATAGTGAGATGTTTTTTTCGGGATGCTGTTTACGTATGGCAAGAATATGCCTAGCATATACATCATTGATTTTCTTAAAGTACAAGGTACTGGTTGCGGACTTATATGTTAAGCACTCTGATATTAGTTCATAGATAGCAGGAGATAGATATATCGTTAATGAGTAAATTTAACATGCTATCTTGTTTTTGTCTTCTGGAAGCAGTGGCGTACAGTGACATTTTTGGAAGGGGAAGCGATTGTATAAAAATACAGCAGGCCAGTAAGCACAGCGCCGCAGGCGAAAATTTTTCACGGCGCCTTCACCATTTTGTTAAAATCTTGCTTTTTTTCCTCAGTATTACGGATATTCCAGATTGAGATTTTTAAAGTGTTACTATTACTTTATTACCTACTTTAGTACTAGAAGCTATAAAAAAACATTTAACTAAAGTTTTTTTATTTTTTCCCGCATTTTTCGCGCAGTTGACACAGCAGTTGACATTTATTTATATTTAAGATCTATTCGCCTATCCTCAATGGTTGCAAATTTGTCTATAACATCGTCGTAAAACTGTTTAACAAGCTGTTTTTCAATTGATATTCCCAGCTAGCACAGACACGTGATTTTCACGTGAAATACACGTCGCATTTTACGTCGAAATCACCAATTTATGACGTGCTGGTGACGTGATTATGACGGCAATATGTCACAGATCAAAGACGTGATATGCGACGTGATAAATACGTCACCAGGTAACGTGTTTAGACGTCAAAAAAAACACCATAATACTCATTTAAAAATGTTTAATTTGTAAAAAAAGTTTGTAAAAGAGTTTATAAAAAAATGTTTAAAAAAGTTTTATAAAAAAAAATAGGTTACTGCATAAAATATTTGAATTGAAACATAGTAAGTATACTGATCTGAACTATTACTAAAAAAACATTACTTCTTAGAATATGTACTTAGAATGTATAAATTAAAAAAAAAATATAGCATTGTCCAGATATTCAACAAATCATTCCGAATATACAGACTTGGAGCAGTTTCAATGGTATCCTTATTAAATTTTCGTTTCACTAAAACAAAATATAATAGTCATAACTACCAGAAACTTATTATTTAAATAAAATGTGAGCCAAAACAAAGGGTTAGCAATGACTGATAAAGATAGAAATTGTTTTATGCCATTAAGCTCTCACAAAAGTGATATATTTGATGGTTTACAGCTTATTATTCTAAGCAAAACAAGATAAATAAAATCAGATCTGTCAAGAGAAATCAATGAAAAATGCTCCTGGCTAAAGAGTACTAGATGCTCCTAGCTAACACAAAATTTAGTATTTCTTCATAGGTCAAGAACCTAATATTTTAATAATAATTTTATGATGCTAATTTTTAAAGTAATGTAAAATTGTTAATTTTAAACCAAGTTAACCTGACTTTTTTATAATTAATGAAATGAAGAAATATTATTTTTACAAGGTATATATTGATAAAAGGAAAAATTGTTTTACTCCCAAGCTCTTTTGATGGCAAAGATGAGATTTTTAATAATTGTGAAAAATAATTATTGACATTTGAAGAAAAAAATGTTGTTCGGAATAAAAGAAATGTACTTATAGCATTGTCACAAAAGTATAAATTTTACTCATAATAAAAAATAAGTTTTGCTAGACAAAGCAGTACTTACCTACTAATAGGTTCATCATCAATAACGAATTCATCATCGTCACTTGAAAATATTCTTCTTAATGGCTTTCTTTTACAAGGAAGAGGTTGTAACTCATTATCACTTGTTATATCCTGTTATAAGAACCTTTGTTGCTTTTTGGCTAGCTATTTGGTAGTTCTCTAAAACAGATTAATAATTTTATACGCTATACATTTTTAAATAAATAAAACGGCTCACACAGACGGTTTACGAAATACTATAACTATAATAGGTCTCAGTAACCAACAATAAGGTGGATTCATAAACTACGTTCAGTTCGCGCTCAGTTGCAGTTGGCAAGACATAACCACAAATTCCACAAAATAAAATTATTTTTTGGTGTTATTTTTGTTTTAATTATATTGGTAGATGGTGTTGGTTATAAAATAATTATGAATCCGTTATAACTTCTTATCCAAAACATACTTACCGTGTCATTTTGCTCTGTTTATGTTGAACTCGAACTGAGCGTGAACTGAACGTAGTTTATGAATCCACCTTTAATGTCTACGTTAATAGTTAAAACAAAATTAGGCTCTACAGGCACCTTTACAATATAAAAAATCACTCACCTTCGGTAAAATATGTTCTATAAATAGGAAAGAGTCCAATTTTCTCCTTTTTTAAGCTCTTGTTTAAAAGATTCTTGTTGTTTATAAGAACCTCATTTCCCAGGATGTCGGCCACTTTGAACTTAAAGTGGTTTAATGATACTCCGGTGCCGTGCTTGTCGGCGTATTGAATTCCTATGTACATACTAAAAATAAACAATAATATCGCACTAAACTTCCTAACTACTTACCTTCAAAACACATACAAAATCATACAATATAAGAATGTTGCAAACACAAGTTATAAAAATAACACAAAATGGCGTGAACCGCTAACTTTGGACAATGACATGACAGCTGACATTTCTAAACAGTGCTGACATCAAATTTCATTTAAAAATTAAAATTCCCAAAAATCCCTAGATTTAAAATGAGAATCATAAATTTATTATAAACACTAAAGATACTTTCATTAATAAATAGAATGTAAAACAATAAAGGTATAGAATCGACGTGTACACGTGCGCAGTTTAACGCCTCATTTCAGAACGTGACCAACTAGTCCCTAAATAACGTCATAGTATTATTTTGGTGTCACAATGACCGGCTAAATAAACGATGTTGTATAAATTACCTTCTATTTATTTAATAATGAATAACAAAAACTCGAAGTGCATTAATGACATAAATAGGTTTATTTTGTTCGCAACAACTGCGTTTACGTGTCAAATTGGTCCGAAAATGACGTCATTATTACGTTACTTTTACGTCAAAATTCATCGTGATTATGACGTGAAACGACGTCCGGTGCTAGCTGGGATTAGGGCTAAAGTAGAGAGTCTGTCTTCACTTGTTGAATTTCGTATAAAACTTTTAATGCACTTTAAAGCTAAAAAACTTCGCTCAATTGACGCACTTGTGGCTGGGATGGTTAGTACTAATTCACACAACTTGACGACTTCACAAAGGGACTTGTATAAACCAGTTGTTATGAGAAAAGTTAACACATTGATGGGCGTCCTTGTATCACTAATTTTAGTTGTTTCATAAACAACACTTAACTGGGAATTTAATGCTGGAATATCGAAAACATTTCCATAATTTAATTTTAGTGAATTAAAAGCTTCCGATGGAAATTTTGATGAATCGTAGTTACTAATATTAAAATTGCACAATTCAACAAATTTTAATTTGTTAAAGTTTTGAAATCGAGAGTTCATTTGTCGTAAAATATTATTAAAAATGTCGGCGTATAATCGACGAAAGGAGGTCTCTCTGTCGCCGACATTATCAATTCTAATTCTCTTTTTTCAGGTTCTAAACCAATGTCTTATTCAAAAAGTGTTCAAACTGATCTCGTTTTTTATTCATTTTATTTTTAAAATCATCAATGTGTTTAATGCAAAAGGCAATGTTATTTGATTTTATCTGTAAAATGTCAGTAAAAGGGAAAATCTCTGCAAAAATGTTGAGAAAAAATTGAAATTAAAGTTTTTTTTGAGCCGATGCAAATACCCTTTAGCGGCAGAACAGTTTCAGCATATCATATTTCTTTATTATCCCAAACATCTTGAAAAAAGTGTATCAAAGAATCACGGTATAGAACCACTGTTTGCACTAAACGTCCATTGTAGTTCATCGCGTCTGAGCAACTTTTGCAAACCTTTTTTGAACGTAAATGTCCTAAGCGCGAGTTCTTTTCGATGACTTTGAAAAGAAGGAAGCCAAACCACTAAGCGTCGAAAAGAAAACTTTGCAATCTTTAATATTATCCATGCTTCGCGATAAAGCCAAATTAAGTCTATGTGCTATTCAGTGAACGAAAATTGCATGGTTAAACCTCTCTTTCACTTTAGCTTGAAGGCCTCCTAAATGGACAGCCATTACGGCAGCACCATCGTAGCTCTGGGCAAGAAGTTTATAACCACATTCTAAACTTGAAATAATGTCACAAACAATTTTAAACAATGCATCTGCAGTTCGATCGTTAGTGACGTCCAAAAATCCTAAAAATCGCTCCTGAGGAATGCCGTCCAATATATATCGCACAACAATGGATAATTGATTTAAGTTTGCTACATCTGTGGTTTCATCAAGCGCAATTGATACCAAAGGTGCTTTTTTAATTTCACTTATAATGTGTTCCACCACAACGTCGGCAGTGCATTTAACTAAATCATTTTGGATTCTGTCTGAGTTACCTCGGAAAGTCGTCGAATCAATAAAATGATTTTTTAGGGTATCATCGTATTTTGCTAAAAAAACTTGGCAGGTCCATGTAATTTTCTCGATTGGCGGATCCACTTGCTTCATTGTGACCCCTAAAACTTAGTTCATGCTCTCCCAGGAAACAAGTTACATCTATTAATCGTTGTAAGACGTCCCTATTTTTTTTCATTGTGAATTTTGTTGCTTATTTTTAAATTATTGTCCAAACTATGTTCAATGCGATAGGTCCCGAATGTTTTTTCTTTAATCGTAGCACTTATATGAGATTTGCTATTTACATGTCGTTTTACACTTTTGTGAAAATTATTCAAGTCTGTAATACCGACTGAGTTCCAATGTATTTTTTCGGCTATATTAAAAAGTAGGCAAGGCCAGCAAAACAATTTCTTCAAAGTTTTGCAGCCGGTTAACCATTCATACTTTTCATAGAACCCTACGTGAAAATGCCTGGTAAATTTCTTTGCTGATTTTTCTACTTTCGTCTTTAAATTGATAGAATCCTCTAGTCTACTACAATTAATAATATCCGTTTTCTCTTCAGATTTTCTACTTGAAAATCCTTTTTTCAACAAAGAGCACACAATACAGACACAATTTACCACATTATTATTGTTCACAGGCACAGTGCATAGTTCTTCCATTTTACAAAAAGAAAAACAACTACACTATCTACGATTTTCCTCACACGTCGATTCACGATGAGAATTGCAATATGCATATAAGGCGACGTAAAAATCGCTGCTTCTCGACCGAACATACAACTTATAAAACCAAAAATAACTATATAAAATATTTGTAGCGACAGAATGAAACTAACGGTCCTAATAGAGATGGGACAATCATTTTAAAAATATAATCATAAAATATTAAAATAACGGTACTAGAAGAGTAACCGTTACAAACTGTTTATTAAATTGTAATAAAATACGAAAACCTTTCTTAAGGTTTTAATGAACAGAAAGCGATATTGACAATGAAATAAATATAACAAATTGACATACAATAACTAAGTTACTAACTCACTAAGTATGTAAGTACATTAACTGATTATCACTACACATTCACTAATTTTTGTACTGACTTAAATTTATATACTTTACAAACTAATATACCATGGTTTGACTTTTCATGTATCAATGCCAAAAAGAACATGAATTTATTAAAAAATTAAAGAAGTCACAATTTTTCTGAAAATTCAAAACAAACTTTTAAAAGCGGAAAACAGAAAACCATTAAATTACGGAGAAAAGAAAACGAAGCTGAAATTATTATTAAATTGTCCAACTTGAATAATCCCAAAGAATTCTGGCAGACAATTAAACAGTTCCGTAGCACAATTGAATTGTAAAGTTTCTACCAGTATGTATTTGTGAAAATTTTTACCAAAACATATCCTCCTAGAACAACGTTGACTCTTAGCTTTCAAGATATCACTCGCCCCTTTCTGGATGCTCCTTTCTCAAGTCAATTGTAAAAGTAACAAGTCTCCTGGATGTGATGAGTTTTTTAAAAATCTTTCAAATAACTGAATTATTGGTTTAACACCTATGGAGCTTAAAAGGCGTCAAAACTTTTTTTAGGCAAAGCAAGTGAGATTTATTGTATAATGACTCCTCGTTTTCTGGTAAAATATTTGTAGATTTAAGTTTTAGAATTTATATCGGATTGTTCTACGTAAATGGCAGATCATCAGACTATTGAAAAATAAACATTTGCATTGGCAAGTTTAAACCCCTATTTCATGAAAATTTTACAATCTATTAATGAATTTCGCCATAAAATTTAATTGGTGTGTTTACAGAAAGTGAAAACAAGTAGAATTTACGAGTCCGATCTAACGACGGCCTTTTTTTCTTCTTGTTGTTTTCTTTTTTTGTCTCAGTATTAAAGCTCAAAAGTATCCAGCTGTTCTCGAGTTTTTGCATCAAAGACCAGAGATATATCACGCTTAATGATACCATTGCATAGATTTGAATTTTAAAATGCTGCTTATTGATTCTCAACGTGTATGAAAGAACATTACTTCTTGGCGGTTTTATAGCCAATTTTACTTAACTTTGTATAGTTAAGAAGCTACCAGAATTGATTTAAAATGTTTAATAAATTGCACACTCGAAGTAAGTGCCTGGAAGGTTTCTTAAGCACGAGTCAAAGCACTACAAATTAATTATAAATATAATGTACAGTATGGTGCAAATTCATTTGAATCATGCTGTATATAAGGAGCCATTTGAAAAAAATCATAATTGAAGACCTCTGAGTAAAAACCGGGCAACTTCGTTCTTATAAAATATTGGAAAATCGATAAAAACTTACTACTGTGGTCCAATTTAAAATAATTCCTAGGTATAATAGTTTTTCCTTTGGAAATAATAATCTTCATTTAATGGTACATATTTTTTTTTACTAGATTATTATCTTATTATTATAATAATATCTATTTATTCACATAAAGGTACATTATAAGAATACATACATAAATTACATCTAAGAAAAAAATAGAAAACTTGAGTCCATTAAAACCAAAAGAGTGGTTGTGCATGGACAAAAATAAAATACCTAATGTTTGTGACGCATAAATATCTTACAAAAAGAAAGTTATATTTTCATTGTACAAGTGACCTTAAGAAATGGATAGATATAGATAATTACATTAGGAAAAAAAATATTTATATACATGAATACATGGGGATGTCAGTAAGGACAAAGTAAGTAAAACAAAAAATAACCATTTAATAATTATATTAATTGTTTAGTCTGATTTCTTCCTAACAAAATTATATATTTTTTAAATATATCTTTTATTATATTGATAGAATTTATTTTGTGTAAATATTCTTTATAAATTTCAGGTAAGCCATTGTAAATTTTTCGCGATAGGTAAATATAACAACGTAAACTAATATTTTTTTTGTAATAACTCAATTCTTACATTATCATTTTATTTATATCTTGTTGTATATGAATGACTTACTTTTTCTAAAAACGTTTTTATTATTATAAGTGTACATAATAATTTGATGCATAAACAACTCTGTCTCAGGTCTAGTATACCAGATTCGAAAAATAACATATTGGATGAGTAAGTGGGTATTTTATTAAACATTATTTACTGAGGCCCTTCCTATGGGGCCTCAGTATTGCATTCGTGCAAACGAAAAAATTTTCTTACCTTCATTTTTTAAAACTTATTTTCATGTTTCCGATCATTCTCAGTCCGAAAATGCAAAAAAAATGTTTCATCTGGTCCTCTGTGTGTATGTATGCCGGCACGATAACTCTAAAATGAAAGTTCTGATTGACTTGCGGTTTTAATTTTCTTAAAAAATTACTTCTAACTTAGAACCCTATTGATTTTCAAAGTTTTCGGTGCATCCTAACTACTTTAATATCAATTTTCTTAAAATCCACCTATGCATTTCTTATGTGACAATTTTAGGAATTCCAATCATTTCTAACGTCTAAAATTTCTAACATTCTTAATATTCGATAAATTGCAAACATTCTCTAACGACCTGTCAAACAACAGCTGTTGATAGTAAAGGTGAGATTTCTAAGGCGGGTTATGACTTTCATACTTGCAACCATAGCCATTTTGGAGGCTATTTTTATTCGAAATTAGTCGCCAAGCCTGCCAATTTATAAAAAATATATAAGCAGTTTCTTAAAAATTACTTTTATATGGTGGTGCTAACTTAAGCGTACTACTATTTCGCCCCTTAATAAAAATTTACTTGCTCTCTTTCGCAACCCTATAGAATAATTAACCGGCCATTTTATTTGCCAAAAATCAGAATAATGCTTGGCTGTGCCTGTCAAGTATCAAGATGTCAACTGTGATATGTGTGAATAGCTCTTAAATGTCAAATTATTAACCGACTTCAAATAAGGAGGAGGTTCTCAATTCTTCGCAATATTTTTTTTTATTCTTTTTTAATTTTTTTTTCTATATGTTCAGCGATAATTCTTTAACACGGTGTCTAATTTTAACGATTTTTTGTTAGTAAGGGGGTAACCCAGGGGTGGTCCCATATAAATTTGGTTTAGATGTGGTAGATGTCGTTTTTTTTTTTAATTTTTAATTTCTAATACTTGTTTAAAAATGTATGCTTTTTTCGATATTTATTGCAAATAATTTGTAGTGTATCTCAATTTAGGCTTTCCATAAATAAAGGTGCAGCAAGACAGATAATATAATGTTCTTATACAAAGTATTTTTTTATTATAAAAAAAAGAGGTAGGATATAAAGCTGTTTTTTTAGATAATTTTAATTTTACACTTTTGGATTACATTAAGGGGTTGAAGTGCAATATCAAATAGTCCACATTATATTATATCGCAAACATAGACTCAACCAGCGAATTGTGAATAATAATTAGTAAACTCCTAGTCATAAATTTCCTCAATTCATAAAATTTGAAAATTAATCTTCTTGCCTTGGGATTTTAATGACGTAATGTAATTTCAAATTTTGATTAATTATGATACTAAGGTATTTTTTTGTTTTTCATTTATTTGTATGTTGAAAGAAGGCCTTTGTAAATTACATTGCTCTCTATGGATCTACTCTAACACAAAAATAGTTTTGTGGCTATAAGTTGCTATTGCCTATCGTCGCGAAACTATTAATAATTTAAACATAGTAAGTAGTATTAATATAACATTAAGTAATTTGTTAAAATAAAGTACATAATCTCAAAACAGAAATAATTTATAATAAATGCGGGTAAAATAACAATAAATTAAGGGAAATACTTATTTAGGGGCAGGTTTAAAGAGTATTATCGCAAGAAAGTATATCCGTTTTGTTTATTTATCACGTATTGTTTGAGGTTACTTTTGAATACATTTATTGTTGTTTTTTTTTTAATTTCTGTAGGAAGTCCATTTAATTTTTTAAACCTTAAATAAAAATTATATTTTGGGAACTTTTAGTGATGGCTTGCCGTACATGAAAGTCAGATTGGCTTCTTGTATTATAGTTATGATATTGCGAATTATATTGAATTTTTTCTAATAGATCTGATCCGATGGTACTATATGTCATTTTTATTTTATAAATAAATATCAGTCATATACTGAACCTAATTCTGAACTGAAAGCCAATTTATTTCTTTTTACATAGTTGCAATACTCATCCTTCTGTCCTTTATTAATAGAATATAAATAGGCGAAGAAAGGAGCCCAAATATTTTACATAAGCAAGCTTAAGAGGTGAAGGGGTCAATTATTATTGGAAAAATTGCTCGAACAATTTTTTAAACTTTAATCAAAAGGCGATATAGAATGGTTTTAAAAATCAAGGCTTGTGAAAATCATCACATGGTTAAATCTAAGTAATGCCAATGCTTCACAAACCAAAAAATTCAACGTCCTAAAACTACTATCGGCTTTCGGTCTTTCGTTCCAAGTTAAATTATTTCTCGTTTTTGTTACGCTACGATTTTACCCTTGTGGGCCTCAGTCTCGATAATGTGGG